CTGCACACTTCAACTCTTGTGTACGGTAACGAGGACCAAATACTTGGAACAATTGGTATGTCCACTTGGCTTATGGAGAAAGTTGATGAAGCCATTCCCAGGATCCTGGAGTGGCTCAGATAACTCTAAAAGCCCTCAATGGAAGAGCTTCAACTTATCAAAAATGTGCATACTAATTCAACGTCTGCGGAGAGGAAAATTCAACTGTTATTGGAACTTTATCCAGTATATGTGTAAAATTATATGTTTTATATTTGCGTGAAATTGCTGTAAATAAATTCCTAGTTGGCTTTTCTGAACACCTTCAGTATTATGGGCCTGATGCATCTTATGGTCAGGATAGTACCAATTAAGTTTTGTTGGCGTGTATGTAAGTTTGAATAAGTAAAATAGTAAAGCAAAACTTTGGAATCTTTGGAATCCGTTCTATATCTGAAGAACAAACTTCAAATCGTTTTAAAAAACTAGATTATGATGCATCTCACTCTGAATCATTTATGTATTAACTTTAGGTTTTGTGGCCACTTATTTCTTATGAAATCAAAATAATGCTATGTACATGCATGAGTACTTTATGTATGATGAGGTACATGCAGGTATAATGACGAGGTATAATGATGAAGGATTAGACATGTGCAACATCTGGGTATCTTTATTTGTATACGCTTCACCATCCAGTGGCATAAGGATCAGTTACTAGAGAATGCCTTTCCTGATCTGCGTCAAACTATTAACATTACTTTGAAACAAACCTTGTCACTCGCTCAGCTGAGTTAATTTCAATTTGTTAAGTAAAAGGACGCAACTGCAACTTATGTGGCAGTTTATTGTGGCAACGTTTCGCTCTCCAGGAACTTTGTCAAGGCTTGATTTGCATCCTTTTACTTAATATATTGTTAGTAATTCTACGAATATTAAAACAATTTTCAATTTCCTAATTTTATTTAGTAAATTGATCTCCATCTAAGTGATGAATTACAATTTATATTATTTTTCTTTCTATCTTATTCTGTGTGGGTTCTAATTTGACATGTTTTCAAATTTCATTAAATTGGATGTTTCTGAAAAGTCTAAATAATTTTGTTCTAACATGATTTTTCAAAACTTACAATGGAATATAAATAAGAAAAGCCTGAAAAAAAGTCAATTTTTTTTTTTTTGGGTGCTTTTATGTTTAATACAGACAGTCATCTTTTCGGAACGTTTTGATGTATATTTATTTTTAATTATTTTCTCAAGATTTCGTTATTACTCAAAAAACTCCTTATGTGATCGGCATCAAATTTTCAGCGCTGGTGTAACGTATCATGACCAAGATTTATTAGGCTACGTGCATGCAGGGGAACTCTATGTATAATGTAACTTAGGCCATTCTCAAATTAGGTTTCCGAGTGATGACTGGAGAAGGCTCCTCTGATCGACTTCAAAATATTAACACTTATGTGTCTAACACTAAAAAAAAAATTATTGGAATATGTAGGTGCCATTTTGCTACTCTTTTTTTTTATCTCGAAATGATTCAGTATTAATTAAAGTTACCTTATTTTGCCTTGATGTTGGTGAGGGGTTCTTGATTCAGATTATCTTACCCTTCCTTATATCATGTTTGAATGCCTAAGTGTTTAATACTTTTTTCTGCTTAAAACTAACAATTGGGTGTGATACATCAAATAGATGGATGATACATCATATAGATGAAATGTGTCATGGGGTTAAGGTGGATACTGTAGGTGCAAATTTTGTTAGATTCTGAGCAATAACTTAAAAATACATCTTCAGCTGATGTGATTATTTAAAAGAAAGTAATTTATTGATATTAGTATGTATAAACTATATTGTGCCAGGTTGAAGAATCAGAATGGTAATAACTGGAGAATGTCTTTTCTAATCAGAAAAAAAAATATTTGACTATGATAATTTAATGAAGGATAAAAAAATAATGTATATTTATTTGACTATAACATCTATGGGTCCTCAAAGTCATTTTTAAAAATTTGCATTTTGTTAACCTTACACTTTCTTAAAAGCTGGTCATTAGTAATTACAGAAAAGAATGGATTAATTTTTGCCGGTATAAATCCCACATTTTTTCTTGAAACTGGAAACAAATGAAATACTTCTTTTCAAACAATAATTTCTTAGTGTTGCTTTCGATTATTTTCAAGGTTTATGTGCTGAAAACTTGATAATTCAAGTTCTGAGCAACTTCGAGACTTATGTGCTTTTCTATTTTAGATAATATTCTCTTTGAAAGGTTTGAATTAGATTTGGGTTGTGTATACACTAATTTACCATTTTTATTGAAGAAATCTTGATGTTAATTTATGTATGATGACTAGTTAATATCTCTATAGATACTCTTCAGATCTTCAATTAACTGCCCTATTAACTTATGCCCCACTTTGTACTATTACAGTTTCATACACTGACACACACAGGACTGGGCTTATGAAATACAGGAATTCCTCTCTCGGATTCTATTGCGACCTTAATACACTGA